TCAGCCCTTTTATGTCACTCAAAAATTATACTTGATGTATCCAACAAAGTTGTTTGTGATACATAAAATCTGGTATAATTAATTTTAAACAACAAAACAATTTGTTATTGATGTGTTTTGCTGCAAAAAAAGTAATACAGGTAATCATCGACTTATAACCACAATTGAGCCCAGAATTTATGTTGCTAAATGAGAAATTTGTTAAGTGAATTTTGTCCTATTTTCTAATGTTTCTTGCCACAGTTGTTAAGTGAATCACTGCAGTTGCTAAATTAGTAACACGGTTGTTAAGTGAATCTGGCTTCCTCAGTTGATTTTGTCAGAAGGTCACAAAAATGGTCACATGACCCCGGGACACTGGAACTGTCCTAAATATGAACCAGTTGTGAAACATCCAAATGTAAATCACATGACCATGGGGATACTGCAATGGTCATAAGTGTGAAAAATGGTCATGTCACTTTTTTCAGTGCTGTTGTAACTTTGAATAGTCACTAAATGATCTGTTGTAAGTTGAGGACTACCTGTATAATTTTATATTAAGGGTTTGTTTGGTGGCTTATCAGGCTGGCAGTTTGGTAATAGTAGAAAGGAGTATATAATAATAAGAGTAATATAGTAATATATAATAGCACCTGAACTCACTAAGTTAAGATTTTTAGGTATATGAACTGAAAGAGTTAATAGAACTTATGCAACTCAAGTTCTTCCAAAGGTGAGTTCTGTAAATCAAGCTGCTTCTGGACTAATGGTAATGAACCATCTACTAGATTGTAGCAATAATAAGACCAATGACAAACAAAAAAAGAAACACTGAAAGAACTTGAGACTAGTGGTTTACAGGATTACAAAAAAACCTTAAAAAAAAACCAGGGAAAACCATTCAAAACCCAGCTCTTATTGCATTGAGCATGCAGACAAAGAAACAGAAGTACAAGTGGTTGGAATGGTGCCAGACTGAATGGCAGGTTTGAAGAGTGTTAAATTTCAGCCTTTTTAATAGCAAGCAGTAATTTAAAATTCATGGTGCAAAACTACCTAACACTATTAATGGCCAATTCCAGATTCCAGTCTTAAGAGCATACTGTACTGTATGATAATTTGCAGAATGTAAACTGTTCAGCAAACATTTGTAAGCTATTCCCCCTTGCTGGCTATCATTTTTAGTCTTACTGTCGGAAAGCACAAAGTGTGGTTGGGATTTCACTGTCCTAATAGCCATTTGTTAACCATTTAAGTCAGGGGTCTTCAAACTTGGCCCTTTTATGACTTGTGGACTTCAACTCCCAGAATTCCTCAGCCAGCATGCCTGGCTGAGGAATTCTGGGAGTTGAAGTCCACAAGTCATAAAAGGGCCAAGTTTGTGAAGACCCCTAAGTTATGGTTACTGCTTTGTAAGTAATGTATCAGTCATCTCTGTGTGAAGCAGTGTTTTATCTGTTTATGTCTGGATTCACTGAGACTCTGGTACCTAATATTTTCTATTTTGCTGAATGACTGTTCAAAGCTGTCATTTATGAGACCGCACATTACTTCTAGTATATTTCACCCATCTTGACTTTTACCTACTGATTGCTGCTTTACCCACTACAGTAGCAATTTGTTTGTTTTAGAAAAGATGTCTTCCTGCTAGTTGATAACTAAAACATAGTACTGCAAATAATTGCAAGTTAATAGTTGCAAATCTTATGTGATTCAATATTAACCCTCCCAGAGAAAAAAATATTTTGTCATTGTTCTGCTGACGCTTGAGGTGGGTGCAGATAACACTACAAGTGGTCCTCGACTTGCAACCATTTGTTTGGTGACCATCCAAAGTTACAACAGCACTGAAAAAAGTGACTTAGGACCATTTTTCACACTCATACCTTTGCAGCATCCCCGTGGTCCCATGATCAGAATTCAGATGCTTGGCAACTGGTTTATATTTATGAAAATTGCAGCATCCTGGGGTCATGCAATCAGCTTTTGCGACCTTCTGACAAAGTCAGAGGGGAAGCCAGATTCATTTAACAACCGTTATTAACTCAACAGCTGCAGTGATTCACTTAACAACTGTAGCAAGAAAGGGTGTAAAATGGGGCAAAACTCACACCTGTTTTGCTTTGCAACAGAAATTTTGACCTTAATTGTCATAAGTTGAGAATCTTGTATATTTAGCTCAAAAAGAGCTAAATATCCTGGGTCTGTTATTAGGGACTGCTTCAATAATGGAGGTGGCTTCTTGTGCATCCTGAATGCCATCACTGTGATTTTTCAATTATAAATCATGCAAAGGCAATTATCCTCCCAGTGTTAGTTCTTATATTCAGACTGGTTCCAGGAAACCATGAACCCAACAGACAAGTCAATATTTTCTCTTTTTTCTGAGCGAGCCATCATCTTTACCAGCAGCAGCTTTTCTTCTCATGGTATGAACTAGTGCTGCTTCTGGAACTCAGTAATGTGAAGGCTGCATCCTCCTGTTCCACCTTGATGAATATATTTCTGCTGCCCATCCTCCCCTTGCATTCTCCTCTATTGCTTTCAATCTTGATTTGTAGTACTGGAATGTTTTTAATAAAGAGAGAGTGGATGTTAACTAAAATTTAGTAGTAACGCTTCCTTTCAAATGGATACTTATGTATCTTGCAAAATACTAATATATATTATTTGCATGAAGGTATATATATATTTAATTAATATAAAAGGTTAGGGTTAACCTGAGCCTTATACTATTAACTTATTAATTAGAAGTGCATAATATTATTCTATAGAGAATTGGTTGTGTGGGGGAAGAAGGATATCTTTTTAGACAAGTTTACCAGTGTATCTGTTTCCAAAATCAGTGTCTGTAATATCTATCTTCTGTCCCAATCCCTGTACACCATGTCCTCATTTAGTATCTACAGTTCATTTCTTAAATCTGAAATGGTTGCTAAGTGAATATGAGAGAGGGGGGGGGGAGAAAGAGAGAGATGGTGCAAATATCACTGGTTTTACTGCCTCATTTAGATAAAGTTCTCTTGTACAACTATGCCAGTGTTACTTTCACTCCAATATAAAATTTGGTTGTGTGTACATTGATTGGAAAGTGATTTTTTAAAAAGAGCATTTTATTTGGAAACAGGGCAACAGCTAAACAAGTGTTTATGTAATATTTCTCAACTTTAACCATGTAATTTTTGCTATTTTTCTCACTTCCTCCTCCATTCAATGGCTCCAGTCAATGATAAGGCAGTTAGAAGTTGTGATTGCTGCTTTATTGATTAATATAAGTGTATATGGAGGATTGGGGGGGGGGGCATAGTAGGCTGAGAGAATCGTTGAAAGAATAACAAAAATCTGTTTTGTTTTGTTTAGATTTGAAATGGCAGTTTTGAATTTGAAACAATATTTTGGATGATGATGATAATGGCAACAATGATAGGGCAGCATACACAGAATTATTTCGTCCAGGATTTCTCCACTTAAAACTTTTGTGAGATAGATTGGGTCAGAGATACTGACTGGCCCAATATCAATGAAGCTTCTATGTTTGAGAGAGGTTTTAAACTTACCAGTATATCATATTGCCCCTCCATGTATTAAAATAGGAATTTGTATATATCTTATCTTATATAAAGTCACCAAAAGTCAGACACGACAATAGTTAAAAGGACAATATATATCTTATCAAGTTTCTACTTATGCTATCGATTAAAAGATACCAGCATTTTTGGATGTATGCTAATATTAAACACGGCGATAGTCCCCTCATCATTTCATCACTCTGTAGCAGATCTAAAAGTAACTGTTGTAGAAAAGTGGGACTTTAACAGCACCATCAAGTGACAAATTGTTAAATTCACATATATTAAAAGGTTTCAGGCAATCTTAGAAGGTCTCAACAACTACAATGGTTATTTTTAAAACATGTAACTGTTAATTGATAAGATACTTGTAATCTGCCTCACATGTAACTTGTCTATGTAGCCAATTTGTCTCTCTTCCTTTCTCCCCGCCTGCCTCCCCCCAATTTACATCTTACATCAATCTACCCACTCTGTGCATCTGATCAAATAAGCTGCAGCTTACAAAAATGTATTACTTTTAATGATCTGCATTAGTGAGAGAAGATGCTAGCAGATTCCTGATTTTTGCAATCATAGACAACATAGACTACTTCTCTTAAAATATCACATGCTAAGAGCATAATATAAAAAAGATCTCACTAGATGATGCACAATAAACTGCACAATGTAAGCGATTCTGTTGTCTTCAGAAACAAAGGTACTACCCTTTTAAATATAAATGTCCTAGACTTAGAGTGAATGAGTAGGAGGAACCATTTTGTAATTTGTTCAGAAAGCAAGATGTTTTGGGGAACTACTGAGAGCAATTATGTAGAAATCTGACCCACCCCCCCATTAAGTAATTTTCCTTATTTACCTTTCTTTAAATAGTTTTTTTTCAAACTGGTGGTAATTTACATACTCTGGTCCAGTATACATTGGCCATAGCCCAAGTATCAAGGATAGATGCTTGTAACCTTTGAAATAAATGTTTATGGAGATTCTCAGTCATCTAGGTCATGGTTGCCCCAAAGGTGCTTTTTCACAAGGCAACTGGATTTTCTTTTTTTTCTCTTTAAAGACGTTTCGCTTCTCATCCAAGAAGCTTCTCCAGCTCTCTCAACCAGAGAGAGTAAAGGCTAAGAGAAGGCTATTCCATCCCCCATCATCCAGTCAGAGCTGAAGAAGCTTCTTGGATGAGAAGCAAAACATCTTCAAAGAGAAAAAAGAAAGTCCAGTTGCCTTGTGAAAAAGCACCTTATTTCAAAATAAATGTATTTAACTGCATAATTCATCAAAACAATGGTTGTAGTGTGTGCCAAGACTAAAATCCTCAGTATATTTTACAGATGAATATTTAACATTTAGCTGCAACTTTCATGCACAAAAACCTTAGTTCATATCAAATTGTTCTTTAAAAGCCTATTTCAAAACATAATTAATAATTGTGTTTATCCTTCACTTTAGGGGGAATCTATAAAATATTTTCTGGACAATTTGGATAAACTTGGAGACCCAGTAAGTTTTATTTCTAAATTTGATATTTGTATTACTATGAAATGCTAGAAGTTTTCTCTTATTTTTAGCTTCAGATAATGTCAATAACAAGATGTAACATCATTTCTGAACTATAACTACATTTAATTAATATTTGTAGACCCTATGATGTTCTAAAATCCAGTGTCAAATATTGATATTGTGTACTAATACTGTCTGTTTGCTGATTGTTCTAAAGGCACTTGAACTATAATTCTTGACCCACCTCTCATAGTTTAGTGGAAACCCATCCATCTACTTCCTAAGAGTTACTAACTTAGGAATTTAAAAAGACTATTAACTGGTTAATGGTCTCATTTTAGCTAGTATCCAGTTAGATCCAATACCTGGGTACATTACACATGCTCTTAGAAAATTACATGTTCATCAGTTATCAATGGCAGAAAGGTCTAAAGCATGGAAATGAGAGATCCAATATGTTCTATATCATTATTTAGCATGTAAAAATGCTATTTGTTTATGTATGCAATGTTTTTCTCATAAAAATACCTTATTAAAAGTATTATGTTAAGGTGACACAGTTGAAATAGATTACTCATTTTTCAAGGAACAATTAAAATTTTGCTTTCATGGACTTTAATGTTACGCATTGCTTTACATTCTTATATTACTTGGTACCAACACTTGCCTCAATAAAGCAGGAATCTAAAATAAGGAATTTCACTCTTAGTTTGCTTAAAAGCTTACTCTTATCATTTTAACTTTTGATATTGCATTTGATATAATCATTCTGTGGTTTCTTAAAATGTAATATTTTTTTCAACTGTAAGATTATTTATTTTATTTTTCAGTAGTTGTATTAACAATTCAGATTATTTCCCCCCAGGATTATCTTCCCTCCCAGCAAGATATTCTGCTAGCACGAAGACCTACAAAAGGAATACACGAGTACGATTTTGAAATTAAAAATGTTCCCTTCAAGATGGTTGATGTAGGTGGCCAGAGGTCAGAAAGAAAACGTTGGTTTGAGTGCTTTGATAGTGTCACTTCAATACTATTCCTGGTTTCATCAAGTGAATTTGATCAGGTACTTATGGAAGACCGGCTAACAAATCGCCTTACAGAATCTTTGAACATTTTTGAAACTATAGTCAACAATCGGGTTTTCAGCAATGTATCCATCATTCTCTTCCTAAACAAGACAGACTTGCTTGAGGAAAAAGTGCAAAAAGTGAGTATCAAAGACTATTTCCCAGATTTTGAGGGGGATCCTCACAACTTAACAGATGTCCAAAAATTCCTGGTGGATTGTTTTCGTACCAAACGCCGGGACCAGCAACAGAAGCCCTTATACCACCATTTCACCACTGCTATTAATACAGAAAATATTCGTCTGGTATTCCGTGATGTCAAAGATACCATCCTTCACGACAACCTCAAGCAGCTCATGCTACAGTGATGTTGAAAAGACTGATTTGTGTTAATAGTTTACAGCAGGAGTTTAAAAAGTAAACCTGGTCTTGTCAGACCTCATGATGTGTGGGTAAAAGCTGCTGCTGTTCTTATTGCCAATTTCTCTTAAAATCAAAATCTTTTCCTGTTCATTATCTTGAATCAGTTTTAACTTTTAAGACTTTTTTTTAAAGCTAACTCCAGGTTTTAAATTATTCTGTCTTTTTCAACTATAAAGCCTGAACTATTAACTTGTAGATATGTGCTTGAAAGAAATTATTTGGAAACATGCAAAGTTCTTTGAACTGGTTGGAATTTAAAAGAGCTATTGAAGAGTTTTCCTGACTTAGACAACTACCACCAATTGTTATATATGGTAAATGGCTTTGCTTTGTCAAATAATTAACCTATATTTCAAGTTTACAAATGCACTTCTGCTTCCATGCCAATAGAGAGTGCTTTTAGATGGTACCAGAAAAAAAAATTGCCACTGAGTATTTCAGTCAAAATGAATCATGCATAGGAATTCTTGGTCTTGATTAGTTTTTGCTAGATCATACAGTTTGACAGAACCCCATGATTTTACAATTTGGGCCTCAGCTAACTTAAACCAAAAAGCTGCTTCCTGCAGCTTTGAGAGTCCTTCTCAGTTGTCATAAATAAGCCATTGTCTGAAAACACTCCTTTTTTTCATTTACTAAGATATTGTGAATTGGATAATGGTGGAAGCTAAGCACAAGATTTATTTTTCCCAAACATAATTCAATTTATAGATGTCAAAAGGCTAACACACTCGGTATATACAGCTGTAGGTGACACAGTAGTGGCCATTATATTAGCCAAAAAACCCCCCCTAAAACTGAATTAAAATGTAAAGCAGCTAAATGATATCAGACAAATGACACATTAAAAAGGGTAAAATTAAAAAAATATTTCACCTTCTGGCTCAGTTACACATTTTGAAGACAAATTTGCAATGAAATATTCTGTAAAAATAATAGCTTCGTTGATGCTTTGGTATTGGTCAAAAGCCAGTGTCACCTGTAATTCTGAATATCTTTAATTATACATTTTATCCTAGGTTTTACCATATTGAGCTTTAAAGAGTATATTTATAAAAGGGATTGACACTTGGGTTCTAATGTCTAATGCAATAAAATATATTTACTTTGCTTAAGAACAAAAACAATTAGCAAATTTCCCTCTTTTGTTTCATTTGTTACACAGGCCAAACTTAGTCGTTGTTCTAAAAGAAACCCAACTATTCTGTAGTTTTTGTAAAAGGAAATCAATGTTTTTATATTTTTGAAAAACAATACATTTTTGCCATTCATTAGACTAGGATAATTAAGTTTGTGTGCCAATTAAATGCTTTAACAGTAATTGGCCTAGTCCAGTACCAGTAAATGGTTAATTGATGCAGTATCTTATAATCTAAAGTGCCTCTTGGGTTTTTTTAAACTAATAGTGGCCTTACAATGAATACCAGTTTAACTGGTTGGAGGAAAAAGGGCTTCAAAATCATAACAGACAACTGAGTGCAAATAAATGATCTTCGCATTTTTGCTAAAGAGTGCAAAGCCAATATAATCAGGACCTTCAAAATTCTAGGGTGAAACAAAATGAGATGAGGGAATGTCATTTTTTTCCATACTGGCATTATTTTAGAATACCACCAACACTGTTAAAAAGAGGGAAATGAATGGTTTTTTGTAAGACCTTTTAAATATAGACTTTTTAAATTACTATCTTGCAATTAAAACCATCAGAAGTTGGTAAATAAAACTATACATACAAAAATGAAAGATCAATTTTATAACTCTACTGACAGAGTACTGCTTAGAGTATCAATTTTCCTTTGTATTCCAGAAAAATGACTCTTAGAGGACAGTGAAGAAATTTGTTAAGATAATGTTTTATTCTGGAAATAAAAATAAGCAACTGTGGAACACATTAACATAAGCAATCATTATAAATCTCAATATATTTCATGCATATGGGCGTACATGTATTTTAAGTAGCTGTAAGGGACTACAATTTTAATGATAGGAAAGGGTGGTTTTCTCTTCTTACGCAGATCTGCTTCTCTCCCCATCAGTCAAATGGACAGATTTTGAGAGTGGCAGAATTGGTAGGAAAAATAATCCAGAGACAAAGAGTTAGTTAAATAGTTCTTTTCCCAGGCATTTCTCCCCTCAATTTATTATGGACTTTTTTTGATTTTTTTAAAAAGAATTATTGGAAGGATAAACTGTGTTGTGCCAATTTTGGATAAGTGAAATGCTGTATCAAAACCTTTGGTGAGAGATTGAGTCAAGGTTGCAACAGTTAAATCACCAGCTGGCAAACCTGAGGATCCCTTTAGTTCATTGCTGTTTTTTCTTTTTCTTCTTGTCCTATTACTATCATGGGTTCATGGGCTTTAAACATTGTTGGGTACAGACTTTAATGTCCCCTATTGGGTATCTGGTATTTTTTTTATTTCATTCTTAATGTGTTCTGTAGTCTAAAATAAAACAAGTTAAAACATTCTTGCTAACAAGAGTGGCTTACTTTTCTCAAGTACAACTCTTTGTTGCCAGAGGCCTTCATAGAAACATTTTTTTACAAACATTTTTTAAAATTCTTTTTATTTGGTGTTATAGTTTTTCAAATTCATGAGGACTTTTTAAAAAGTATCTACTTTAGACTTCAAAACAACTGACTTTTTTGTATTTTAGATTTTCATAAAATTTACTATTTTAAAATCTAAAGTAGAGGTATTTAAGTTCTTACATACTTAATTTCCTTAAACTTTAACCAGGTCATTTTTTAAATAAACATCGTATTTAGCCTTGTGCCTTATTTTGCAGAAACTCAATACAGTGAACCATTCCTCAAGGCTTGGGAAACCCTCTATTTTCTCACTGTGGAATAGGTGAAAATACAGGATAGAATGGAGCTTTGCCTCATTCCCAATTTCTTGTACTGATAATGCCAAAGAATAGTTTGAATATAACTTTTGACAAAAGAAAGACATTGGAAGGATCATCCTGATGCTCTGTGACCATCGTCTGGCAGATGCTTTTCTCTCAACTTAAATTTGGCTCAGTTTTGAACAGAACTGGACATTGTATTTCTACAAATGTTGCTGAACTGCAACTGCAGTTATCCTTCCTAACTGGTTATGTTAGCTTGCATTGCTAAAAACTAATGTTCAGCATCAAACAACCATATATTGTTTGGCCCTATTTTAAAGAATAAATTTAAATCGAGATAACAATAACAAAGTTCTTCTTAAGCTGTTGGTTAGATTTTGTGTGTATTATGGTCATCTGTTCAAAAAGCAATTAAGAACTTCCGATTGATGGTACCACAACTTAGTCTTATTTTAAAATCAGGTTAAAATATACAGCACTGCAATAGTGTCCTTGGCAGTTTTGTTTATCTTATACTTGAAAGCAGACAATTGCCAATTATTTAAAACTGCTTTCACTTTCTTCAACAGCAGCAACAAGTTATGTGCTATAAAGTTGTTTGTGAAACATTTTGTAATGACCCCACAGAATCTTTAATGAAACCATGATTTGTATTACTTTTGTATAAATGAGGGATATGTTTTATGACTATAGTTTTGAAATATAAGTATCTTCTGTAACTTTCTAGGGAAGAAGAGAATCTACTACTTTGTAAATTTGCCCCATCCCTTTTTGTCCATGGTTGGCAATAAATTATTTCTAAAGAAAGTCTTCAAATGTATCATTTAAAATGGTTTGATTACTAAAAGATGAAAGCTTCATTTAGTTGTACATTGTTCTCTGTACATAATTTGCAAGTGTTCAAGCCATTAATATTGCCTTGTGTAAAGTAAATTACTGACAGTAAATAAACAATATACATCCTCATGAAGCCTGTATTTTTGTACTTTAGAAGTGTTTTTAATTAGTTTTCAGTACAATCATTTTTGACCACCTAGATTTAAATAAACTTTAATTAAGCTATCCACTAAATTTGATTTGTTTTGTGGTATGCTCTAGTGCTTTTGCAAAGATTAAGGAATCAACTTTGCATAATTCACAAGCTAAAAACACTTTAGGTGTAAATGTATAGAAACATTAACTGAAAGAAATTAAATGCATACAAAGAGAACAACAAGTACGCTTTCTGTACTAAGTAGGATTTCAGTGTTTAACTACATAGCCTCAAATCTACAATCTTCCTCAATTAGTTTTTCTCTGCTTAAAATAAGTCATTGTTTGCAGTCTCTTTTTGAACCTTGTGTTTTAAATGCTGATTCACAAACAGACATGAATAAACAATTGCTGTTCTGGTTTATACCACATGGTAACCCGCAAAAAGCAAACCACCTTTTTATAGTAAATACATATATGAATCAAGTTAAACGTTTTCAATCTTAACCTAAAAAAGAGGAGCTTGAGCACAATATGAACAGAATATATTAGGAAAGAGATTTTGATCTTTTATGCAATGCCATCTATGTGATTGATCCTAAGTTATTTCTACCCACCTAGAAGTCTTGCCTGTGTTGAGCAAAATTTCTTAAGTTTTCCTTCTCTTATTGCACAATGACATGACACATGGAAAAATCGCCAATTCCAGGCAAAACGATTGAAGCAAACTTATTTGAAGGCCAACCTCTATATAGCCAACAGAAAAATCCACCAATCTTTTTTGACTTTTAAAACTTACTGGCATTAAGTTCATTTGCATTATTTTTTTATCCATCTACTTTTATCTACACATAAAATTTCAAATCAAGACAAATAATGCAAATACAATAGTATTCATTACCTATAAGATACTTAAATGAATAACATAATTTAGTAGCCAATCCCTAGTGCCAAAAGCAGAACAACATATTCCTGTTTCCCTTAATGTTTTCTTTCATGTTAACAAATCTCTACAGCACTTGTAAATAACAGAAAAGCTGCTTTTCTTGCCACTTTTCCTAGGCTAAAGGAACTAAGATACCTTCATTGACTCTTAATGCAGTCTTGTTTAAACTGAGCCATTCTGGAAAGGTATTGTGTTGTACACCACTTGTTTTAGTAGCTCCAAGAGTGGAGATTTTGTCTTTTTTTCTTATGTATCACATTGTAGTAACTCTGCAAACTCAATTTAAAATGTCATTGTTTTAATGCGAATAACAGATAAAATCTCTGCTTTCCTTCTTAGGGTGTGTATCACAGGAAACAATTTTTTTAATGAGACTTGTTTAACAATATGCATTCTAAAATACTGAATATATTGCTTGCAATGTTACAAGCTGATTTAATTTGATTTTTGTTCTGGTGTTAGAAATAATATGCACTCGCCCGTTATATATCTGTCAACCCTTGGTGGCTTACTAGTATATAATATAGCAAAACATTTAAAACATCCTTGGTACTGTATATTAAAATACCTACAGAGACAAGCAACAATCATGAAACCCTCAAATAAATAACAGTAAGTATAAAGAAGTAAAACATAAAATCACAAATTATGAAGTATAAATACAATATATAATTATAAAGTTATAAGATTATTATAGCATTTCTAAAACTACATTATGAACAATGTTGATGCTACATACTCTTACAGGCAGACAAGGCTTCGTCTGAACAAAAATAAACATGGAACACATTTTGTGGTTTTGTAACATTCCAACACATGATTGGTGTAAAATTCTGGCAGGATCTGCATCACAATCTGTTTAACTTTAAAAATTGTCACAATGGTGTGTCTGGAAATGTGTATAAAATATATATAAAATATAAAATCGAGGTAAATTAGGACACAACATCAAGGCTTGCCAACATACTAGCTGTTACAAGAATAAACATGGGAAACTGCTGAATACTATAACAATTTCAAATGACTTTGTTCCATACTTAGTGAAGGAAAAAAGTATTTGATCCTCTGCTGATTTTATACGTTTGCCCACTGACAAAGAAATGATCAGTCTATAATTTTAATGGTAGGTTTATTTTAACAGTGAGAGACAGAATAACAAAAAAATCCAGAAAAACGCATTTCAAACAAGTTATAAATTGATTTGCATTTTAATGAGTGAAATAAGTATTTGACCCCTTTGCAAAACATGACTTAGTTCTTGGTGGCAAAACCCTTGTTGGCAATCACAGAGGTCAGACATTTCTTGTAGTTGATCACCAGGTTTGCACATATCTCAGGTGGGATTTTGTCCCACTCCTCTTTGCACATCCTCTCCAAGTCACTAAGGTTTCGAGGCTGATATTTGGCAGCTCGAACCTTCAACTCCCTCCACAGATTTTCTATGGGATTAAGGTCTAGAGACTGGCTAGGCCACGCCAGGACCTTAATGTGCTTCTTCTTGAGCCACTCCTTTGTTGCCTTGGCTGTGTGTTTTGGGTCATTGTCATGCTGGAATACCCATCCACGACCCATTTTCAATGCCCTAGCTGACGGAAGGAGGTTCTCACGCAAGATTTGATGGTGCATGGCCCCGTCTATCATCCCTTTGATGCGGTGAAGTTGTCCTGTCCCCTTAGCAGAAAAACACCCCCAAAACATGTTTCCACCTCCATGTTTGACAGTGGGGATGGTGTTCTTGGGGTCACAGGCAGCATTCCTCCTCCTCCTAACACAGTGAGTTGAATTGATGCCAAAGACGTCGATTTTGGTCTCATCTGACCACACTTTCACCCAGCTCTCCTCTGAATCATTCAGAAGTTCATTGGCAAACTTCAGATGGGCCTGTACATGTGCTTTCTTGAGCAGGGGGACCTTGCAGACGCTGCAGGATTTGTCCTTCACAGCGTAGTGTGTTACCAATTGTTTTCTTGGTGACTGTGGTCCCAGCTGCCTTGATATCATTGACAAGATCCTCCCATGTAGTTCTGGGCTGATTCCTCATCGTTCTCATGATCATTGAAACTCCACAAGGTGAGATCGTGCATGGAGCCCCAGACCAAGGGAGATTGACAGTTATTTTGTGATTCTTCCATTTGCGAATAATTGTACCAACTGTTGTCACGTTCTCACCAAGCTGCTTGGCGATAGTCTTGTAGCCCATTCCAGTCTTGTGTAGGTCTACAATCTTGTCCCTGACATCCTTGGACAGCTCTTTGGTCTTGGCCATGATGGAGAGTTTGGAATCTGATTACTTCTGTGGACAGGTGTCTTTTATACAAGTAACAAGCTGAGATTAGGAGCACTCCCCTTAAGAGAGTGCTTCTAATCTCAGCTAGTTACCTGTATAAAAGACACCTGGGACCCAGAAATCTTGTTGATAGGGGATCAAATACTTATTTCACTCATTAAAATGCAAATGAATTTATAACATTTTTTAAATGCTTGTTTCTGAATTTTTTTGTTGTTATTCTGTCTCTCATTGTTAAAATAAACCTACCATTAAAATTATAGACTGATCATTTCTGTCAGTGGGCAAACGTACAAAATCAGCAGGGGATCAAATACCTTTTTCCCTCACTGTATGTGGCTGCCATCTAGCTAGCATATATTAATACATTCATTTCTGTTTCCAAAAGCTAATGTTCTAATGAATATGAATGAAGTCTTATATAAAATTCAGAATACTCTAGTATTCATCCATATGCTCCCATCTTTGTACTGTACAGTAACTTAACTGGGGCAGTTATTCCCAGATTTGGCAATCAAAATATTGAAATTATATGTCATTGGTATCAATTGTAATGGGAAGAGCCCTCATATTCTCTTTTAAAATTCTAATCAATTTGCTATGTTGCTTTGATATGTGTGTGTGAGTGTCAAAACATTAGCTGCTCATTATAATATATATTATTGTCAGCTGTTCTGTCAGCTCTGTTAAGGAACATCCCTTCTTCACTAAATACAGATAGTCCTCCACTTACAACCATAGGAATGCTGCAATGGTCATAGATGTGAAAAAATAGTTTGTCACTTTTTTCAGTGCTATTGTAACCTCAGATGGTCACTAAATGAATGGTTGTCAAAGACTACCCGTATATGCGCTAAATCAGGGTTCTTCAAACTTGGCCCTTTTATGAATTGTGGACTTCAACTCCCAGAATTCCTCAGCCAGCGTGCCTGGCTGAGGAATTCTGGGAATTGAAGTCCACAAGTCATAAAAGGGCCAAGTTTGAAGACCCCTGCACTAAATAATATTAATCCAAATGCTTGGGTTAATTTACAGAACCAAAACCAGAGATTCAGTTCACACAACAGATTGAGCTACAAAGCAGCCAGCCACAGTTAAGCTCAACAAACTATAGAAACTCGCCATTGTTTGCTACTGTGTGCAGTCTAACCAAAGTAATTTTGGCAAGTAAAAGCACAGCCCCATTCCTGCCTGCTACAGTTCGCTGCATAAACAGCCCCACTTCAGATGTTGCATTCTGGCATCAAGAGACATCCCTGCCAATGTGTGTATACAGAGCCATTTGTGTGTAGTCTGTACAAAGGTTTCCCGGAATCCCAAACTAGTGGTGTGCGGTTGCAACAAAGCTTTCATTTACAGTGCTATTCATACAAGTCTGCAGCTGATTCCCACAAACTTTTGGCGGGACTCTGCCTAGTGCTGCTGCTTGGGTGGCGAGCGTAACGTCGAGACACTTTCTTCATAGAGATGCTGGCTACATTTGCACATTTTTCATTGCAGCTTATTGACTTAATGTTACTTTTTGGATTCAGAGGAAGCCCTGAACTAGTTTTTTTTAAAACCCACTGGGCACACCCATCTTCCAGGATTCGTTTATTAGTTCCGCGTCGTGAAAAATGTACAAAATTGGGTTAACTTACTAAACCAGGGGTAGGCAACCTTGGCTCTTTTATGACTCGTGGACTTCAACTCCCAGAATTCCTGAGCCAGCATAGCTGGCTCAGGAATTCTGGGAGTTGAAGTCCACGAGTCATAAAAGAG